TACTTGAACATTGGGATGAAGATCAGCAATAAAAGGAGGTTGTACAGGTGCCTTATCAGCAGTAAGCAAAATCTCAAAAGGTATATTAACCTAACTGCAGTACTTTCCATTGATGGCATAATGATAAGAGGGGGCAACTTAGAAAAGCAAATGGGTCAACCATGACTTTGTATGGCTCCTGGAATACACTGGCAATGGGGGATTATTGCTATCCCTGAAAACTCTGGGGTTCTCAATTTGCCAGATTACAAAAGGATTTGTAGCCTGCATAATTGTGCCTAGGCAGGATACTTGTTTTCCATTAAATCCATGAAACTGGCATTGACTTGGCCTGCTTCTGGGGGAAAGTCCTTTCAGGGATCAGTTTCCACAATAGGAAGTTTCTATGTTTGTTTTCCCTGACTCAACATTTCTTTAATTCAATACTCATTCACACATTCTGTATGGAATAACAGTGTTTCATACACTGACATGACAGAAAGCTACAGTCATTAAATCATCTAGTTGGGCCCTGCCTTCTGTTTCAGCATCACAAACTGTTTGCATTAGCTATGGTTCTCATGGTGCTGAAAAGGCAGTATTATTTCTGTGCTTGGTATTCAGTCTAGGTCACTAGAAGTTTCTTCATTGATGACATGCACCATTATTGGATTGTTTTTAATCTTGTGGCAATGAAGCCCTTCTTTAACAGCTTCCAACACTTGCTACTCTTCAAGATTTAGCTTTGGTGTAAGGTCATATGCCTGACTGGTGAGAAGTACTGTCACTGGTTTTCCATCTTCAGAATCACTAGTCACTTTTCATTCTGTTTCCAACATTACAGTGCATTTTGTGTGCTTAGGGCTGAAAATGAACAAAACAAACCCAGGTTAGATCATGGAAAAGAGAAAATGATGCAATAAAGACCAGTTGAAGGTGAGCTTTCTTAGGCTGCTGTGGGTAAAATATGGGGTGGTTTTACAGCACAAGCTTTACGAAAAGAAGTCCACTGGAAATAAGGATAAAAAGGTAATGTATATCTATGTCACAGTAATGAATTCACTTATTAGTATAACAAAGTGTCACATGTCATACATAACTAGTTTCATCACAGTACTTTTATATGACTCTGAGTGCAGTACAGTAACTTACAGGAACATCACCACAAATGATTCATAATGTCCCAGTATTGCAGTGATTCAGACATTATGAGATGACAGGAATTTTTCACCTGCACTCTGTGGAATCACACAGAGTCTGTTATCTATGGAAATATCATTTTGCTGTGTATAATCAGTCACTTTTCCACTCTTAAGCTCTCTAAAATGTGATTTATTGCTATCAAATCTGGGTTTTGTACCCAGCTGTAGCACTCAGAGCCTCTGAAAGACTTGAACCATTTTTCTGATAGACAAGCAGGTTAGAATGAGTGGCTGAAGGGGCTAGGGATTTAGCTCAATGGTTCTACCACCTGCCTCATAAGTGCAAGAAGCTCAATCCCCTGTATTAAAAAAAAAAGAAAAGAAAAAAAAAGATATTGGAAAAGGATGGGTGGCTGAGCACCAGGTGAATTTCAGTGTAAGTGTGAGGCCTGTACTGTCTCCAGGGAGTCAGGAAGGCACTGAATTCTGTGAGGAAGTTCAGCAAAAGCTCCTAAAATTTAACATGCAGTGGATTTAGATGAGTTGTGGAGTAACAGGAAGCTCAAACAGGAACAAGGAGCCTAAGGCTTTTAGGGCCACTGGACACAAATAAATGAGCTACAAGGGACAGAGCCAAAATACAGCTTCACCTGCTATCATAAAAAGTCAAATGAGAATTTTGAAACAGAGAACCTGGACAACAAAACAAAATGGGAGGAGTGTTGGGATGGGCCTGGATAAAATAAGGCTGTTTGGGACAGTAGGGAAGAACAAAGACACAAAGAGCTTTGGTATTCCAGCTCAAGTTCTACTTTAGAAAAGAAAACAAAAAAACCTTTGCTGCCTAAAATCTGTTCCCCTGTCTAACCACTTATAAGCAAGCTCTGGTGCTTACTGCAAGCAGGCCTAGAAGAGGCTCTCTGGCTTTAGTAAGGGCGCCTGAGTTAGTATAAGTGGAAACTCTTGCATTGCTTTACTATCTGAATAGCACTTCCTAGAGACTTAGAGCAGTTGAGAAATTACCAAGGGAGCCTTCGCTGAGGCCCTCACACTTTTCTCCCCAGTGTCCTCTTGAGAGAATTCTGTGCCACTCATAGTCCAACCTGGTGGGCATCATCTCTAATGCTGCACAAGCCAGAGAGCCCAGAATCTCCAAGAATAGGCCCTCAGTTCCAACCAAGGACATGCCCTAGCCATTTAATTCTCATCAAGTTCTACTCCCAGCGAGAAGTACAGAGGCAAAGTGACTGTCTAGAAGTAGCTGGTTCTATGATAGCAAGAACTGGGTGGGGAATATTACAGGCAGTTCCTCTGTTTGGAAGAGAGGCCAGAATGCTTATTCAGAGTCACGTGCTAGAAACAAAGAAAGGGCACAGCCTTGTTTCCCTATATTCCTTTAGCCTCTCTTCCTGAAGAGTCAGAGTTTTACCCATTTGTTGCCATGCAGGGGGTGGGGGAGAATGAAAAACTGACTCAGTGATCTCCATTCCTGTACCAGAGCATAGGAATGAGAAAAGCCATTGGAAAGAGCAGGGAATTAGAGGAGCCAGACACTGGGTTTCCATACTGTAAGAAAGACATTAACTCTGAGTGCATGGGTTGTGTGCAGTGTGGTCTAGGTCCTCAAATATTCTCAAGTGTGGTAAAGGGCTGAGAACTGTCTTCCCAGATGGTGGCAGCATCACTCTGATGCATAGTGGTAACAAAATCATGATATTGTGAGAGCACTGGACACAGGCCTTAAAGAGAGAACTAATTTTCCTGTTTAAATTATAAATTTGGTTGCAAACTTGTGCAATCCCTGCTACTCCAGAGCCTGAAATTGAATGATCAAAGTCAGTCTGAGAAACTGAAAGATACATTATATCCAAATATTTGGTAAAGAAGAGAGGAGGGAGCAAGTCAAAGTGGATCAAGGAATAAAGTAAGATGTATTAGATACGTATACCAATTTCCCACCAGGAATTCAAACAGTGTATACTACACACATGTAATAATAAACGAAGCAAATGGCTGGCAAAGTAGATCAATGTTGGAGTGAATGCCTAGCACATGTGAGGCCCTGGGTTCAATCTCTAGTACAGGAAAAAAAAAAGCCACTTGTGATGTGTTATGTTGTCAGCAGTATAAAGACAGGGTGGGAAGATTAACAAGGTCAAAACTAGCCAGGGCAACTTAGTGACTGAGCTAGACAATGCCTCAAAATAAGGTATTTTGAAAAAGGGCTGGCTATGTATGTAGCTCAGTGTTATGCCCAGGATTCAAATGTAGTATTCCAAAAAACAGTCAATCAAACAAACAAACAGTAAAACCTATAAATGCATATTTCCTGAAAAATCTTTTTGTTGTTCTCTATGACCTCTGTGTTTACTTTGGAATCTTATTATAGGCATAAATAAATACACAGTTAAACTTCTCACGGAGTGTCAAATGCGTTCCTTTAGGAGAATACATTCTAGAACATAGTCTGGTAATATGTGGAAGGAGATTTAGATTTCAGTGGCTAGAATTTGGAAACGCTATTTACCACTGAAATTTTTCATGTGTTTTGTCAAGGTGCTGAGACTTGTTCAGACAGAGGAAAAGAAGACAAAAAATGATGAAATGTGGGAAGAAAAACAAATGTAAATCTTGGTAGTGAAAAATATCCCAAGCTGTCTTTCTCACATATCTCCATAGATGCTTTGCAGAAGGCATATGGTAGGATTTCGTCTACATTCTCTTGGAAAATTAAAAAAAATTGTTCTTTACATCTATTATGCAATTCTAAGGTAACATTTCAGTTCTTTTAACAATAAAAACCAACTTGGAAATGCAGAGAGTATGAAATAAGTCACATTTCCCAAACTATATTAAAATTGTATAATCTGTATTTTTAATTTTCTCTATATGGATCTACATTTAAAATTTCCTCTACATCTTTATTTCCATATTTTGTATATATTTTTATTGTGGTTCCATGACTTTTTGTTTTATTATTCAATACTATTTAATAATATTTACTACTTTTTATTCTATATTCTGTTAAGTTTTGATATAACTAGAGAGAAGTACATCAATGACAAAAATAAGTGCAATCAACAAAAAAAGGAGGACGTGAACTAGGATTAGAGGTTCCATTTGACCCAGCCATCCCTCTGCTGGGTATCTTTCCAAAAGAATTAAAAGAATCATAACCACAGTAATAAATGCACACCCATATTCATGGTGGTACAGTTTGTAATAGCTAAAACTTGGAAATAACCCATTTGCCCATCAGTTGAAGACTGGATAAAGACGATGTGGTTTTTCTATAAAATGGAGTACTACTCAGCCATAAAAAATGAGAAACTAGAGTCATACATAGGAAAATGGATGCATATTGAGGTCATACTCTGAAGTGAAATAAGTCACACACGTATAAATACCGAATAGTTTCTCTGGTGTGAAAAACTATAATTGTAAATAAGATCCTAATGGCATATTTGATAATATGAAATTGGAAGAAAAGGGCTAAAGGTGTAGGGGAACTGGGAACAGTAAGGGAAAAGGAAAAAAATGAGAAAATGAAAAAATGGGAATAAAGTATTTGTAACTAGGAAAGGGAGGTGGAGGTGCAGGGATAAGGGGAAAAAATGAGAAACAAGACCTGTCATGTAAAGGTACAAGATCCCAATGATGAATGTAACTACACTGTATACCTAAAATGTTCCAATAAACTCAATGAGGAAAAAAATATATAAGTAAGATGTAAAAATAGGCAAGTTGCCACTAAAGAAATGAAAACTTTAAAATGAGAAAGTTTTCCTTTTCATGTCATTTGAAGAAGGGAAATTATCATTTTAAACTATTCAAGCTTTATTAAACACATTTAATAAAGGTGTTATAAAATGTTTAACTTTAATTAGCTTCAAGGTTTATGTTGCTGCTGAATTTTGCAGATAACTGAACTTTCAAATCTCCTGACACCCACTGAATTGATTCTACTGTAGATACTAAGGCATTGATTTCTTCTTGCAAATTTTTCTTTGCTTCTTCTGACATATCTTGTGTTTCTTCTTGAGAATGCCTAATGGAAATGTCACTAGTCTGGTAAGGTATCATTAAGCAGTCATTGTCTGTGAGCATGATGTAGTCACAAAGCATCTTCCAAATTCTGGAGTTTTTTTTACTTCTATTTCTTCCTTTAGCTCTGTGATTCTACTCGTATTCTGCACAGATTTGTTTATCTTTTGTTGATCTTTGAAATTGACATTGACATCTTCTACAACAATTTCCTGTATCACCTAAAATACATATTAAAAAGATAGACTGAGTTTGATCCCCAGCTGAGCTTCTTATCAGCTGAGTCACTACAGCACTAGTAATCTCTGTGTCTAAGTTTCTCCATCCTCAGTAGTGCACAGAGGGGGCTGAGGACCTTAGGGGTGGGGTGGCGGCTGGATCCCCAATGGCTTGGGGTGGGGGTGGGAGGACTGTGCTCCCTGGCCTCAGGCTCCTCCCAAGTGAACTTCAGGGTGGGGACCTTGAGGTCAAGGTGCCCATCGTTTTCCCATTGCCCAGGGACCAGGCCTGGGCCACCCTGGCTGCCCAGGCAGAGGCGGCCCCAAGCCCCCGAGAAATAGATACTGAAGAAGATTACATGTGCATCTGAACAGAAAATAAACTTTCCTGTGTTATCTGCTTGACATCATCAAGGAAGTACTTCATACATTTCTGTCTCCTTCCTGTGAAGAATTTGAAAATTTGCTGATTTCTCCTATCCCTCCTTGGTCTAGGTTCCTTTCTCTTCCTGTATATATCAGGATTTCTAAGGGATCCCATGATGCCTCACTTGGTAATTCTACATCATCCTTGCTCTATCAATCATTTAATACATGATTTGTTAATTGTCTACAGGATTTGATCATTTTTCTACAATTTAAACAATATTTCCACATACAACATATGGAGACTTTTTAAAAATTCCATTTTTCCAACTGGCAGTATTCTATTTTTGTTCTTCACAGTGAAGTTTGTTCATTTCTCTCTTATGGTCTGAAAATATGTATCTAAAAATTCAAAGTTGCAGTAGTATTCCAGTCCTGCCTTTTTTATCCAGTGTTCTACCACTTGTGTTCACTAGTGTATTTAAAATATACTTAGGAACCACAGAGAAGACATCACCATCTTTTTTGTTTGTTTGTTTTTTGAGACAGGGTCTTACTATGTAGTTGAGGCTGACCTGGAACTCACTATGTAGCCCAGGCTGGTCTCGAACTCACAGCGATCCTCCTGTCGCAGCCTCCCTAGTGCTGAGATTACAGGCATATGCCACCACGCCTGGCAACATCACCATCTTTAATGGTAATTTGAATTTAGTTTAAAGGGCTGAACCAGATCCGTGTTAATTTCTATAAAAATGAAAAAAAAATTCCCATTCTTACCACAAAGGATTTGACTTTGCTAGTTTTGTCATTGATACTGTTTTTTTATTTCCATGGCTTTTTTTTTTCCCCCTTAAAAAAATCTATTGTCTTCAGAAGTTTCCCCTGGGAAAAAAAATCTATTACCTTTAGCAGTAGAAAAGTAGGGGCTACAAATTTCAATCTTTGCTAAATTAGAAAAAAGTGTTTCAGAGAATAGTAATCTGAATCAGAACAGAGTGGAGATTTTCATGAGTTATTCTACTTTGATGCTAATAACTGAGATGTCCCAGCGAGACAGAAACCTAAAGTAGATAGCACAAAGAGACACTATGCATATTGCAGTCCATTTCCATTAAAAAAATATTTTATCCCCACAACCCCGCCAACATTTGTTATTGTGTGATTTCTTGATAGCAGCCATTCTTTGTGGGGTGAGGTGGAATCTCAGTGTTGTTTTCATCTGCATCTCTCGAATGACCAGTGATGTGGAACATTTTTTCATATATTTTCTTGCTGCTTTTACTTCTTTGTCTGAGAAATGTCTGTTCATTTCGGATGCCCATTTTTGAATCGGGTCTTTATATTTGGGGGGACTGATTGTTTTGAGTTCTTTATATCCTTGATAGTAGTCCTTTGTCCGAGGTACAGCTGGTAAAAATTTTTTCCCACATTGTAGATTGTCTCTTAGTTCTGCTAATGGTTTCTTTTGAAGTACAGAA